GGCCGACTTCCTAATCCACTTTCCCCGTCCCGGGCCCTATTCCCGCCCACGGGCCTCCCAGACACCCCTTTCACCCCGAGTTTCTGAGTTCTTACTCATTCCCGGCCTCCCGCGGCGCCGAGAGCTCCCTGGGTTATTCATTGCAGCAGCCGCAGCAGCACCTCATCCCCCCGACCCCCCGCCGCCATCTGGACCTGACTCAGTGCATTTCCAATTTCCTCTCATTTCTCAAACCCATCGCCCTACATTTTTCCGGGGGAAGCGGGTGAGACCGTGGTGTCCGTGAGTGGGTATAGAAAGGGAAGTGTCCTCAAGGGACGAGTCCAGGGGTCTCTCAGCACCTAGCTCTGAGATGCTTGGCTCCAGTCTCTTTAGATTTTTTTTGTAAAATGCCGCTGGGGAGGGGGGTGTCAGAAACCCACTTATTCAAGAATGGACTGTGCGACCTCAGACCGGTTACTTAACCTCTCTGTGCCTCAGTGTCCTCTGTGATATGGGTTAATATAGTGCCCTCTGCCTAGTTTGAAATGGCAAAGGAGCTTGGAAAAGCGCTGGAATAAAGAAAGCACTCGCGAAACGGTCGCCCTTGATAAATATCTTCCTTCAAGTAGCCTTGTTCTTTTACCTTTTTCTTCTCTCTTTCTTTTCTTTTCTTCTTTTCTTTCCTTCTTTCTTTTATTTATTTTTTGTACCAGGGATTGAACCCAGGGGCGCTCAACCCTGAGCCCATCCCCAGCCTTTTTTATTTTTCACTCCGAGACAGGGTGTCGCTAAGTTGCTGAGGCTGGCTTTGAACTTGTGGCCTCATGCTCAGCCTCGGGAGCCGCTGGGACGACAGGCGTGCGCCCCCCGCCCCGCCGGCTCCACTAGTATTCCCCGAGCCCCAGCCCAGTGCCAGCTCCTGAGCCACGTGAGGGTTCACGAGGATCATTACCATTTTCAGAGCCGAGAACTGAGCCCTGCGGCTCCAACCAACCAGAGTCCTCCCACATCCCCACCCGACCCGTGGCAGCGCCGCGTCGCAGGCCGGGGACACCCAGCCCCTACCTGGAACGCAGGTCTGAAGCAGCAGCAGGAGCAGCGGCAGCTGCGGCAGCGGCAGGCGGCCCATGCTCGGTTCTCGGCCGGCCTCCGGGAGCCTCCCCTCTGGGTCTCACTTCTCGGGAAGGAGACAGTTTTGTGGCCCTGGGGGCGCCACCACCCAGACGTTTCGCTCAAGGTTCAGTCACCGCAGATGCGTGGGCGCCTCCCCTTCCTCCCCTTGGGTCTCCTCCACAACCACAGGACTTCCC